TGAGGAGTCCCTTCCTGCACCAGCTCTACATCTAACTTGGTTCACTCTTCTCTTCAAATCTACATTTCTTATATGCATCAGTTGTTTCTCTGTTATTAGTTGTGTTTGCTTCTTATATTGTGAGCGTTCAAGCTTATGCGAACATGGCCACCTACATTCTTTCCAGAGGTTTGATGCACTGATCAAAGATTGATTAAAGAAACCTAACCATGCCGAGTGCGTCATCACAATCATTATTGGAGGTGATACTTTTATTTCAAACACCCAGTATGAGATAAAATTTATTCTGTCATTGCACTTGAGCTTTTTCTCTTTCGAACTACATTCTCTCTCTAAATCTTGTTCTTATAGTGTAGTATGCCAATTGTTCTGTTTCACAATTATTTTCTTTCTCCAGTCGGAATTTCATTTGAGACTTTGTCCAGATGCCTCTTTGTTGCCTCAGAATCTCATCAGTGGTAGGTCGCTCTACTCAGCCATATAATGCATGATCAATTCTAGAAATATACTCCATGCGCAAAACTACCACTTTTTGACATGCAATCCTGAAATGGACTAATTTATTTCTCATTATTCTCTTCTTTTTGCCCCTATTGGTTTAGTTTTTTTTCCAGATCTGTCCTACCCTTGGTGACTTTATGACGTAGTATCATTTCATTTGCCATTGGATTAGTGTTTAGTTGCGGGAGGGTGGCAAGCTTTAGGTTGTTGTGCCTATATTTCTGCCATGCATCAGGAAAGTAGTCTGATGTTTCAGACTAATAATTCACCTTGTCGTCAGTACCATTACTCTTCCCTACCCTCTAGTTCGGCTTGCTGAATTAATAACCAGATTTTGTGGTTTTTATTCATTTCAAATAATCTCAATTTTCTTTTTCTTTCGATAATGAATAACATTGTTAATTCAGGAGCACAAGTTATTTTGTAGCTCTTCATGATGAGTACAAGCTATTTTTTATAGTGATGTGACAGGTGTGTTACTAATTAATTCTAGTGGCGTGTAATCATACCCCCTTTAAAAATAGAGTTTGGAAAAATCTTTCCATTGTCAATATTACCCTTACATTTTTTTGAATATTACATTGTTATCCTAATCTATTCTAATTATCATATCTTCTTTGAATTGGTAACCTAATGATTTATTTTATTCATAAAGAGACTTAACATGTTATTAGATAAAATAAATACGTTTCATATAATTCAAATCTTTTACTTATTTCAGTTCGTAGAGAAATCTAAAAAATATATGCTAGCTAGCACCTAAAAGTTTTTGGACTTTGTAAAAAATATTCTTCAAGTTTTTTAAATGGTAAAAACGCCCCCTACAAATTCAAAATTTTATTAAAACATCTTAAAAATTATAAATTTTACTTATCTCAATTCAGTGAGAAATCTAAAAATATATGCTAACTAGAAACTAAAAGTTTTTTAACTTTGGAGAAAATATCTTGTAAGTTTTAAAAATTACAAAAACACCCCTAAAATTCAAAATTTATTAAAAACACCTTAAAATTTTCAAACCTATAAACATACTAAAAACCTACAAATAACACAAACAACCCCCAAAAATTTATGGAATTTACAATACATACTCTGAACTTTTTACAAATTACAAAATAAAACCCTCAAAATTGTAAAATTTACAAAAATACCTGATAATTTCTGACCTAATAGTACATTAAAAATATAGGAATTACAAATATCCCTTATATAATTTATAATTTATAGGAAACACCCTTAAAGTTTTAAAAATTATAAACAAACGTTTAAAATTCAAAATTTATAAAAAACACCCTAAAAATTTCAAAAGTTTAAAAAATTACTAATAATTTAAAAACTTTCTAGGGGTTGTTAGTTAATTGAAAGCATATGAATTATAAATAGTCTATAAACAATTTACAATCTGTAGAAAAGGCCTATAAGTTTAAAAATTTGCAAAAAATATAGGTTTATGAAAATTACTAACAACCGCTAGAAAATTAAAATTTTGCAAAAAAAAATGCAAACATACTAATCTATAGACAAAATGTTGCAAAAATTACTAATCAATGTAGCCCTAGATAATTTACAAAAAAACACCATGAGAATTTCTAATCTATAGACACTAAAATGAATATGTAAAATTACTAACAACCCCTAGAAAATTAAAATTTTGTAAAAAATATCATGCGCCTTTTTAAAGTATAAATTTAGGAAAAAAATTTCATGGTAAATATTACCCATATCTTTTTTGAAAATAACATAACTAATTGAAAATCTATTAAATTTGAAATTTATAAAAAAAATAACCTTAAAATATAGTACATTGTAAATTACTCCTCTAAAGTTTGAAAATTTTCAATGATTTTTTTTGTATTTCCTTGATTTTAATGTAATGTTTAATAGTTTTGTGCATTTGTAAGTTATAAATTTTAGGGTGTTTTTTTTACACTTTTTAAAACTTTTGTGGGTGTTTATTTTGTAATTTTCTAAATTTTTATTGTGTTTTCAGTGTAATACACATATACATCAATTAATGATGATATTGAAGAATAAGTCGTTCTTAAGATTATTAGACCATAGTTAAGTGTGTGCATCACTATTTATAGGTAGTATAGTTTATATATGCAAAAAATTTCAGACAATCTATGTAGTGATTATAAAGATTTTGACTTTAGTGTATTATTTTTTATAAATTATATTTAATGTGAACCCACCATATAATTTTGACCGTGGTCATCATAATTTTAATGAGTTTGATTGATTGATTATATACATATATAGACCAAAGATTACTTTACTTTCTCACATGAGCTAATATTTGGTGCTTAATAATTTAAATTATTTTAAATTTAATATAAAGGAGCTCTAATAACATTTATTTATTTACCTACAGCATAAAACAATCTCAATTCCTATTTTTTGTTGGAGATTTATTCCATAGTTACCCGTATCAAATTAACTAAAATAATAATTATTTATGCTTAAATTAGGATGATTGTAGTTGGTTACTCATTATGAAATTTTTATGAAGATATATATATATATCTTACTATCTATAGCTATATGCACTGCCATGTATATTTTATAAATTAGTTCTTAATTTGATATTTGAAATTACTTTTCTTTTGTAGAAATTTCTTCTTTGACTTTTAGACAGTGTAATCACTATATCATCATTCTAGCATAGAATGGACCTTACTCTAAATGACTTCAAGCCAATATTTTAGTTGCACTGAAGTATATACTATTGCTACTATGTGTATATATGTTTTAAGGAAATCATGTCAACACTTTTAAATAAAAGAGAATATTCTAACCTCTGATATTATAAAAACTAAATATAGCCATTTGAATGATTAGCAAAAGAGAACTTACATCAGAAAAGTGTGAATAATAAAATAAAGATAAAAAGTAATGACATTGCCAATAGTATTACAAATAGCAAACTACAATGTAAAGTTAACCTATTTTGTAGAGCCCAAATGCTGGCTATAAGCATCAGGTTTATATATATTATACTTTATAATTTATTAAAAAGGGTCATAATCTTATATAATAAACTTGATTTAAAATATTGAATAGTAATATCGTTGTAATAATATCATTATTAGAAAAAATTATTCATGAATCGATATGTTCTTTATGGTATATAAGCTATGCACTCCAAATTCTTGTGTCTTTTATAGAGCCAAAAAGTTTGAATACGAGCCTCTAACATGTTGTTCTCACAATAGCAAAATCTACTTGGGAGATATGGATATTTTAGATGAGTTATGTATCCTAAAATACAATATAATTGCCCTAGGTAAGTGAGTTATAATAGCATTTTTATTCACATCGTTTGGGGTAAGATTTGATAGAGACCTTGCATCAAAGGAAAAAAAAAATTATATTTAGAGCACATAGCAAAAAATATCATAATCTCCCTATTCTAATTTTGTAAGAAAATATTTTTTTATACTTTTAGTTTTACTTCTATGAAACAGAGAATGAGCTATAAAATTGAATGAGAATATTAGATAATATAAATATGAGTGAAACATCAACTAAAAGTTAACGTGAGTATGAATCAAATCACAACTAAAAGTTTAATGGACATATTGGAAGTAAATTCATATGCAAAATTTATTTACGAATTGAATGATCACTCATATTTTGAAGACTTCATGATACTAATAAATAGAGATGTTATACTAGATTAATATGTTTATAACTCACAAATAGTAGATCACGTGGCCACAGTCTGGATTAAAGGAAACAATGCCAATATTTTATTTGAGAGAGAGATTATTGAGTTGATGATCAATCCCACAAAAAACTTTATTTTTATTTTTTTATTTTTACTCTATTTTTATCAATTTAAATAATCATGATATTCAACCTCAACTCATGATATTCAACCACATGCATTACACGTGTATCTCAACTAGTGTATATAAACAGATAAGAGTTATAATTTTGTTATCTTGCTATATCAAATGTGGCCTTTCCTGCCCAAGGAGAGCAAACCAACGTTATCTATTTAGTTTGTGGCTCCATGACTCTCGGTTTGATCGTCTGCACTGAATGCTATTTTCAGTTATCATATATCCATGTAAATTATATTGTTAAATAAATTCTCCACTGCATTGTTTGTGATGACTGCATTTATAAAGCTGCAAAACATATTTTGTTATACTTCTCAGAGGGGGTGCTAGACATACATAAAGGCATAACTATTCCAGCAGAAAATAGCACTATGTATCTAGGCATTGTGCTTTGGTTACTACATATGTTATAACCTTTAGTATATAATATGTAGGGAATATATTAAAAGGACCTGTTCTTGTCTTTTATTTGATTGAACGTAACCGAGTCCAAAAGAAATTGTAGGCCGCCTATGGACTATTGTGGTTGTGGATATAATTTTATTTTCAAGTACATGGTAAAAGTTCTTCTAATTAGTCCCATTTAAGCGGTTCCAAGCTTGTTACTGGAGTTCAGAGACACTTTCTAACCATACAACTTTTGGTTCTCAGACTCGCATATCACAGGAGGATCTCTGTGATCATGTTTGGGAGTTCCGCTTCAAAAAGGTACGGTACATTTCATTATCTTCATGTAGAAGTAAACTGTATATAGTAATCTACAGAAATGAGAGATCAATTGTACCTATCTAGTCAGATTTTCTGGTTAGTTACTCATACGATGCCAAAATAAATGTGCCAAATGATGTTAGTTAAGTGACTCTTTTCTTCTTGATGTAGTATCCTGTAGATATTAGTTCACAAAAGTAGTAGAGCAACCTATGGAAATGGCATCCTTATCTTAAATCAGGTTCTTCCACTAATATCCATAGTGGAATGTCTACTTCAGTAGATAGTGATTCACGAAAAATATATGACCAATGGTCTGGTGGATGGCAATCAAAATGTTATAGCAGAAGGTTATACCAACTATAGTGGTGGCTGAAATCCCTCACTCTGACGTGAACATAAAAAAGCAAATGTTTTCAGGTGCATTTGTCTATACAAGTACCGTAGACACTTAAAAAGTGGATGAAACATATGACGTTTTAGGTTGTGCCACAGAAGAAGATATCAAAAACATGAGCCGGAAAAAAGATGATAGAAAGTGATCTTTAAGATTTAGGAGTGCATTAAGAAGCCATTAGTAACATTCAGTTTGGGTTACTACATCCTCATCAAACTTTTGCCATTCGCAGACCGCTCCTGAATACTGGCTTAACCTGGACCCATCATGGAAAGGTACCGGTCCCCCAATGCGCCGATACTTCCACCCTAATGGATCTCAGACAGCAGACCCTGACGACCAAGTGTGGGGTGGTCATGAGTGCACGTTCTCAATCATTACCAGCTATGTGGGCGAGGGTCAAATCAGGGAGCACTATGTTAGGATCAACAGGTGGCCTCGAATAACAGTGTCGAGGAAGGATGACTGGAGCTGGGAGTTGTCGAACCAGCTCTACTGCTACAATAGCGTTCCTGATGCTGAGAAGGAGGGTGGAACTGGACCTCTCTTCCCTGTCTGGTAATTTCTCAGCTTTGTTGCTAGCTAAGAGGGGATTTGTTAGTGTTGTATATATAGGTAGTGAAAATGAGGACCTGGTCGAAGCTTTGCTATCTTATCTACGCGGCCATGTTTGGTTGTATAATGATCTTAGGTTTGGATGTATAACATGTTTTACTGTAGAACCTTGCAAGTGTTTCAGGCACTTGTCTGTTCTAGCAATTAATAAGAATCAGCTAGTAACTGATCGAGGTCTTCATATGGTAAATAGCTTACATTTGGCCTGTAAGTTAAGTAGTGTTTATGTGGTTTCCACGATCTTAGTTATCGGAGCTGGTTGATAATATACTATTATTGTGAAAACAAGATGGACTTACAAGGAAACTATGGAAACTATGATGAATGAATAAAAACTCTTATTACGGGATGATATTAGCGTGGGGGTAGAATCCTTGGTTGGATCTTTTGATGGAAGCAGCTCTGGTTGCTTCTTTATTGAGAGAAGTATCTGGTTATTAACACACATCTTATTTCTATGCCATCTAACGAAGGAGTCCATGAACACAAGACACAAAATTTAGATCCATTATCGAGCTGAGACCCGATAACACGAGCGGATAAATACAGGAGCAAGCGGAAATGATAAGAGTTTTATACAGATTTGATACTGATATTTTCCTACTACACTCAGAAACATCGATCTCATTTCACTTCTTCAATCTCATCCAATGCGTAGTTGTTGGTAGAGACGCCAGCATAGTTGACTTTGGTGAACCTGACGACTACGGGGTAGCGAGTGTTTGGATCCTGTCGAAGTTTCAGCCTTGTGTTAGTAGTAGAAAAGCGCGACTGGAAAAAGGTCAACGGTAGGGATACTTACCTGGTCAACTGTTACGACCGATCCGGTTCCCTTATGCCAGTAGGATTCCGGTCTGAGTATCTTCACCTGAGAAGTTGGAAGAGGGAAGGACCGGAGAATGTCAGGTTTTGGATTAAATTTTATGTTTGCTCCTCTGAGCTTGGGGGATGCAGGATGCTATAACATACGCTAGAGAAAAAAAAAACAGTGATTTCCCCAAAGTTTCCATCATCTTATGCAAGAGTAACATGGAAACTGTTACATAACCATCCTTTTGTTAAAATTGAGAAAAATTAGATTACAAGAAACCCCTCCATTTGTACCCTATTTTTCCAAGGAATCCCACTCATATTAGGAGCTCATTGAAAAAAACTGATCATTGGTTTATAACGGAGTTTGGTTCTTCACATGTACATCTGCATGTAGAGTTCTATGCTAATAGTCAATAATTCTATTTAAGAAATTTACAAGAAAATAGCTAGATACCTTGGTACCCCTCTTGGGGCCAATAGGCGGGGGCTTGGCCGCTTTAGTGGCTGTCTCGGCCGCCGGGGCTTCCGCCGCTGGAGGCGGCGCCGGAGACTCTTCAGCTCTCACCACCACCAGCCTCCTGCCTTAGAAGGCTTGTTGAAGGAAACAGAGTTGAACCTCGATGAAGTGTTTGCGCTGCTGCTGCTGAGGCCTGAGGTGAGCACGAAGCTTGAAGCAGCTGAAGCGATAATGCTTGAAGTTGCCATAGCTTGCTCTTGAGAATTCTCTCTCCCTCCCTCTCTCTTCAGTAGGGAAGTTTTTGTTTATAGAGAGAGCGTGCAAAAAAAATAAAAAAAAATTTAGAGATTATTATCTCACCCCCCGATGTTGGAGGTGATCGTGGGATTAATTTTGCCCATTTGGGTGAGGACGCGTGGCATTCTATCCACAGGGAATGGATAATACGGGCTCGCTCCCCTGTCTTCGTGCCCATTCGGGTCGGGTCGGGTCGGGTCCCTTAGATTATTCCGGATCCGATAATTTCTTGTGAGATCCCCGTAGAATCAAGGGACGGGGATTACAGTTCACTCGTTTTCAGAAGGTTCAAGGTCGCGCGTTGATTCTAGTTGGTGACCAATGGAGTCACACGACTTCTTTCATAAATTTATTTTTTTTGTTGGCAATAAGATTTGAGGCATTTTTTCGAGTTAAAACTATATACTGCAAAACTGTAACAAAACCATATCTCCTTAATATATAGAAGATAGAATCAAAGATGGATCCTACGAAACTAAGCCCCGTCTTATCACGAGTTTTGGTTTTGTTTACGAGTAATTTTATTTGGCCTCTTATGGCAGATTTAAGTCAATTGTCACTAGAGCGAGATCTTATTGCTATTGTATGGGTCAATAACAATCCGCTCGTATGCAGAATGTTCTGATAAGATTTATAATTCAACATCCACCTCCCCACATGGGGGGTGGGGGGTTAGTAAAATTATAAAGGATACAGAAATTCTGAGGCGTATAAAATACTTTCCTTAAAAAAATATTTGTCTCTCTTAATATTCAAATTTGCTTCGGGTTAATGCAAATTTTCTTCCCATGATACAACAACAAAATGAAGATTCCAGCAAGCAAATCTAGAAATTTTCACCATTTTTTTGTGAAATAAGTTTGTAGTATTACAGATTTTTTTGAGAGAAAAGTTTTGAGAAAGAAGTGAAGTCTAGATATCTGAAAATCATAAACTATTTATGGGTTTGAAAATGTGCTTCCAACAGTCATAACTTTTCAAAACACCCATTGGAAAAAATTGACACCCTTCAACAGTCAATTATATGTTGATAATTTGATCAATTCAAAATTTTAAAAATAACAGTAATAAAAAAATAATGTACTCAAGATATATATACTAAAAAGTTAGAATATTTAAGCGGCAGCGGCAAGCGTGCAAAGCGTTAAGTGCATCTAATAATCGTGTCAAAATTGCACATTACTTGCATCACCCGCGTGCGGGGTTAGAAGCCTATACTTTGACCCATTTATCAAATCCCAATAATTATTATATGTTTTTAAATCTCTAAAAGAATGTTCAAATATTGTAATTCAACTTTCATTTGCTCAAAATTAACATTGTTTTGTCCAAGTCCTTTTCGTTACATGAAAATCGGCAGTGTCCAAAATAAAAAAGCTAGATCCATAGCTGTTGGGGGATTTTAGTCTCCCCGCCTATTACGATTTGTGCAATTTGAAAGCCAACCCACAATCAACAAGATATAAAATAGCCACAAGCAAGAAGAAAGAACATTGAGATTTATGTGGTTCGATCGACCAATTTCGACCTACATCCACGGGACAACAATATGAGAAATTCATTATGTATCAGGGAGAACTACAAGACGAACCACTTAACTCTCGCTCTCAATCTCTCAATATCACATACATAATCAACTCTCATATTATCTCCAAACCCCACTCATTAGAGTATCTCCAACAGCTTCCCCATTTTTTATTTTTGGAGAATTTAGTTAGGTTTTTAGCCCAACAGATTCCCCATCTCATTCCCCAAAATAGGGATGGAGGAGAAAAAATGGGGAAACTTCCCCAAATCTGCAGCATTCTCCAAATTTTTGGAGGAAAAAAAAAGATTCTTCAAAATGGGGAAGCTGTTGGAGTTGGTGTAAAAATTAGTTGGAGAATATGACTTTTGCTTCCCCATTTTGAAGAAAAATTTAGAGAAGTTGTTGGAGATGCTCTTACAATCTTTTGAACGGACAAAAACTGCGAAACCCTTTCCTAATGATGTAATCTTTTGCACGGACAAAGACTACGAAACTCTCGCCTCTTGCATAATATTCTTGAATCAAGCTACGCCCTCTGCTAATCCTAGATTACAAAATATTAGCTCTCTCTCTTCTGCTTGGTTTTTCCTCCAACAATAGAAAAATATATCTAGGGAAACCAAAAACCTTATCTCTAGCCTAACTTCATAATTAGAATAGGATTCAAACTCCTAATCTTGATGAGACCCAATCTCCTAATCTTGATAGATCTCTAACATTATCTAACTCTCAAGAAGTTATACGAAGAATCAAAGACATATAATCCCAACAATAGCCTCTACTACTGACGACTCCTAGAATTGAAGTCAAAATTCACCGTTGAGGGCCTGAAGCAATCTTTTTCTACTTATTACGTCTTTAAAAGGAAAAAAAGATAAATATTGAACCCAGATTCTTATGATCTCTTCTGTCTTGGAGACCAACTCTATCAACCTAGTGCCTGTGAAGAACAAAAAACTACTCTTAACCCAAAATAATTGTATAATTGTCTCTCTATTGAATGTTACCAATAGACATTGATTCGCGGTATTTTTTTTCAAAATGAAAGTTAGTTTGGACTTATATAGGTTGAAACATGAAACATCTTTTGTTGATAATAGTGTATTGTAGTGGGTTTTAGTCCCACATTGCTTGGGAGAACAAACCTCACACTCCTCTACTTGTATAAATATATGTGCATACTCAATATTCAATTCAAGGAAAATTTACCTAAGATTATCTCTCTCTTACTTTAACATGGTATCAGAGATAGGGCTATTTCCCTTCCAATAAAAATTTTTAACGCTTCTGCGTTCTTTTGCCAAATTTTGGCCTTATTGTTTTGCAGCCGTTTAATGTTTTTTTTCTGCCAAATATTTTGGTCTTGTCGCTTTGCAGCCTCTTAACGCGTTTCGCGTTCTCGTTTAACCTTCGAGTTTCATTCTAACATTCGGGTTCTATTTTAAACCTTCGGGTTTTCATTCTAACCTTCGGGTTCTATTTTAACGGCATTACCGTTTCAAGACCGTCTCTCGGTCTCAAATTAACGGCATTGTCGTTTCAAGCCGTCTCTCGACCTCAAACGAACGGCATTGCCGTTTCGCAGTCAGTAACGGCATCTCGACATCTTAACGTCGTCTCAACATTGCTGTTATGGCTCCTTTAGAGAAGATTCACAAACCACCTTTGCCCCTCAATGATCAAAGTGACTGGGCAGGGTGGTCCACCATTATCACCAATGCCTTGCGTAGCGCTGGTTTGCTTGATCATCTCACCAGTACGGGACCAGTTCCACCGTCCATCAGCATTGTTGCTTCATCCAGTACTATTGCCTCTGACAGTGATAATGTCGATCTTCAGACTGCTCGTGCTCTCTATGTCAAGGAGAGTTCAGAGTGGAAATTATAGGAATTTCGTGTCATGGATTATCTCACTCGCTGTGTTGGCTCTGGTCTCACTGTCGAGATTGGCTCGCTTCCCTCTGCTCGGGCCATGTGGACTCGTCTCACTGAGCGTTTCACTGAGTGCTCGGGTGCACGGGAGGCATATCTTCTGCAACGCATTGCTCTACAACGCAAAGGTAGTTCATCTCTACAGTCCCATTTTGGACAAATGCAAGCTTTTTGGACAGAGTTACGCTCCATGCTTCCTGGATGTAATTCCACATATGAAGACTGGCTAGCCTGGTACGAACGGCATGAGGTGCATCAACTGTTTCAGTCTCTTCCTGAATATTCAACTATGGCTGATCAACTACTTCATCAGCCTCAATTTTCGACTTTGGTCTCAGTTATGAGAGCTCTCACTGCTTATGAGACCCGGCAGCAGACAGCACGACTCAATTTGTCAACAGACACTCCTACCTCTTCACTCGAGACTGTTTTGTCTTTACCTGTCACTGCTCCTGTTATGAATCATACTTCTCCACAGGCTCCCTCTCCACAGGCTCGATCTAAGCTCTCTTGCAAATATTGCAAGAAGGAAGGACACCGTATTGAGACATGCTTCAAGCTTCATCCTGAGTTATGTTCCTCAGGTACTGGTCGTGGTCGGCGATCCCCTCAGTCTCAACCCTCTCGTACACCAGGATTGTTGGCCAATGTTATATCTTCTACTACTTCAGACTCTACTATTCAAGCTATTGAAAGTCTTCGCCGTCAACTTGATGCTTTCCAACATATCACCTCTACATCCGCCGCACAACTCTCTGGTATGCATTTTGCTGGTTCTTCAGCTAATCCTTCAGTCTCTAGTATGAATGATCTCTGGATTTTTGACTCTGGTTGTTCCTTTCATATGACTTGTAATGCCTCACTTTTATCCTCTGTCTTTACTTCATCCTCTCTTCCTCCTATCTACACAGCTGCTGGACAACCATTGTCCATTACTCAGTATGGCTCTATTACCCCACAAAATGATCCATCTGGTCGTCTAACACTTGGTCCCGTCTATGTGGCTCCACAATTGTGCTTGAATTTAATTTCTATTAGCTCTTTATGCATGGCGGGCCTGTTTGTCTCATTTTCTTCTGATACTTGTATTGTGCAGGATCCACAGACGGGCAAGACGGTTGGGGCGGGTCGTAGGAGACACAAACTGTATTTTCTGGAATGTCTTCACCTTCCAGAGTCCATACGTCCACGTTCTCTTGTTGCTTCTCTTCGTTCGTCAAAACTCTCTACCTCGCTTCCTGCCAATTTATGGCATAGACGACTTGGTCATGTGTCTAATAAAAGGCTGGAGAGTCTTATTCAGTCTGGAGTACTTGGTCCTGTATCATCTAGTTCTAGTATTGAGTCATGTACTGGTTGCAAATTGGCAAAATTCACTGCTTTACCATTTAAAATGAGTACATCTGTATCCACTTCCTTATTTGATTTAGTACATTCTGATATTTGGGGGCCAGCTCCTTTGCCTTCTTCATCTGGCTACTTATATTATGTTAGTTTTATCGACGATTTCTCTCGTTTTACATGGGTTTACCTACTTAAGAATCGCTCTGACGTACTTACTGCTTATCAAGCCTTC